GCCTTGCGAGTGCGAGGGTTTCCCTGCACGCACACATACAAACATTACGCAAGCGTACGTAAGGAATGAGAATATTGAACAGTTTTTGTCTCATTTTGTTTTCCTTACAGTAAGACAAGGCTTAATTTAATTAAGTATACTAAAGTAATAACAATACGCCATTAGTTAAGCAATAGCAGCAAAGGGAGTATATTTATTCATAATATTATTTTTTATAATTCACATATTTTGTTGAGAAACTCTGTAAACCACGAATTATATTTACTTTCTTTTCAAAGTTAGAGAGACAGTTGGGTTTGTAAACTTGCCCATTTTTCTTATTTTTCGTACAAATTTAAAACATCAGTAACGTAACACCAGAGTAAGTCATGCAAAGCATTATATTCAATTATTTAGCTATTTTTATAGTTTTTTTTGAAAAATCTAATGTACTTTTGAACTGAGTAATCGCGAATTCTCATTTAGTCCACAAAGAGGAATTTTTCAAAAAGAAATAAAAATAATAGTAATTTAACAGGGCGTAAAGAAAGTGTTATTTTAATACTACATCCATGTTTTAGTGTCAGAACGAGTGGGCACCACAACAGTCACAGTTTTGTCAGTTATAATATTTGCTTATTGATTTTAAGTGTTGATAATATGGCAATATTTATGACTGCAGTGAAATAATCCAGCCATCTCATTCACAGTTTGGTCTAGACTTTGTATTTTTTACTAACGATCTGCCTCATAATGCTATTTTTGCAAAATATCAAAGAAAACTTTCGTAAGGTGCTCTATTAATACTTTAAATGATGTGTTAAACTAATAATAACGTTATATAAAAACCCAGAATTAGGATAGGTGTGCGAAGATTGTAAGATTCGTATTTTAGCTATTTTGAATTAGGATAGGTGTGCGAAGATTGTAAATTTCGTATTTTAGCTATTTTGAATTAGGATAGGTGTGCGAAGATTGTAAATTTCGTATTTTAGCTATTTTGATCAATATTGTTAATTGATTCAGTCTTTTAACCTGGCCGTTAAAGAAAGCGTATTACCAAATGCCACAAAATATTTTGTTAAACAGCCATATCCAAATGTTCATTATTATTAAAATCATATTCTCTGAGTTGGCCAGATCCTATAGTCATTACACAAAGTAATAAATGTATACCGTAATCAAATTCTAGGTATTTGCTATTTTACAAGGTAATCAATATTTGTATAATTACATAAATAACTCAATATATGCCGTCATTACAAAGAACAGGATAATCGATAGTCATGTTTTCTGAGGCAGTCTACGATATGTTATTATTGAAAAATATTCAACATGAATTGTCATTTTATATTTAAAAAAAAAAGCCTACAGAAACTACAACTTTATGAAGTAGTCAGTATCGTTTATTTGTTTGTCTACAAGATAGATATCCACGCTAGCGGGCCCTAATTTTAAAATGATAAAGTAGAACTTAGGTAGCTATACAACAACACCCACCGCCAACTCTTGGGCTATTATTGTCAGACTGAAGAGTGGGGCTTAACAATTATCTTTCGAGATTTTTTCCTTTTTTGGGGTAAATGAACATGAACCTCCGATTAATGTTCTGGCAAGCTACCCATTGGATCGTGCACGTCCCGAATAGTCATTATATACGTATGGTGTTATTGGATGAAATACCCAATATACATTAAGTTTTTTGTAGTTGTAGATCCATTTGAAGTATTTGTGACATGGTTTTATATGTCTAGTATAATGGCCAAAATAATGAAATATGTCAGGGAATAGAATCTTGTTGTACATAAAGTTTACTATCTTAAACTGTTTGAAACTCAATAAAATAATCAATGTTTATTATCACCGTAAAACGTTGTGGATGTAGTTTTTATATAAAACAGCCAATATACTAGTATGGTCATATAATACGCAGTCAATAGAGATGAATTTGGTATTTTGAACTTGAACGGAACCTTATACAACGCATCAGCTAAGGACCAGTTCTGAAACCTTAAGGTTCAGACGTAGCCACTTCTAACTTAGATTTTATGAGTAAGAGAGGGGACAATTCAACAGTTCTCACCGACTACAGCTTTCTTAACCTAATAGCGATATTAACTGTCACAGTTAAAAATCTGGGGCGTGTTCAAGGGCAAACCAATGGAATCTCGGATCTAATCACTAAACCATGGATATCCAGAAGATATTACGTTGTAACGAAAGTTGTGTTGTAAATTAACACAAACATTGAGCTGTTTCAGGACAATATAAGTTGTATTCCCGAAACACAAACTATCACTAGAGCATAATTTATTGTTATGTTGCGTTATGTGCTTACTAGCAACACTACGAGCGGTTTTTAGTTCAAATTATGTTTATTTAAATATATTGATGAATTTTGACGTCACATATTTATGATGTGTATATAGATTGTATAAAATTCAACACAAAGATTGTGCATCAGCCAACACATTCGTGTCCTGTTTTGTTAGCCGGTAATGAATGTGTTGTTTTAACTCGAACTTGTGTTGTAGCGATATTAGCACCGCACTTGTCGTGTTGTTTTTAACACAAGTTTTTATAGCGAATTGGTCTTGTTTTGTTTTTTTCTAGGAAAATAATTTTCACATTTCGATATGATTTTGAAGAAATATTTGTTTTAAACTTTCATTTGCTTATCGACACATTTAAAAATATGTAAAACTGTTGTATCTCTAATACATAACATTAATGAGAATATTGATACTATCTACAAAGACAGTGCTATGTCTTTTTAAGATTTTAAGAACACACACTTCAAGTGACTCAAAACTCGAGCGCTTTCGAATAGTTGACTATTCTTCTTTCTTCGCTCTCCTGAAGAAGAATAGTCAACTATTCGAAAGCGCTGGAGTTTTGGATCTTATTTTAAGTTTATTACACCTCCAGTGGCTGATTTTCTTTACATCTTCACTGACTTCTATATAAATAAAATAAGAGTTTTGTCTGTACATTGCTTAGAATAGTGTACGTTTTGCATATCTTCACGTTT